CTTCCAAATCCAGTCAGGTTCTAAAGGAGAAAGAACCGAAAAGTGTCAGTTTTGTGGGGAAAGTATAACGGATAAAACGGATTTTTGTAAACGTTGTGGCACCCAGAATAAAATGGAACCATATGGAGGCACAGGATCTGGAAAGTATGACAATCAGCCCAACCTTGGGACTGCCACTTACTACCTAGGAGAGAAATCGTATCATTGCATGGAATGCGGAAGGAGCTTCCGTCAGAATTACCATCTCAGTTACCACAAACAAATTCACATTAGGGAAAAACCATGGAAATGCGCAGAGTGTGGAAAGACCTTTACAAATAGGAGTAATCTTACTTCCCATAAAAAGATCCACACACGCGAGAAACCCCACAAATGCCAGGTCTGCGGTAAGAACTTCAGACTGAGCATCAATCTGACCCAACATCAGAAAGTTCACTCAGAGGACAAACCCTATATGTGCACCAATTGTGGGAAACGATTTGCGCTCATCAGTTCCCTGGTTTCCCATAAAAGGATCCACATGGAAGAGAAACCTTATAAATGCCTGGAGTGTGGAAAGAGCTTCACCCAGAACAGTGCCCTGACTTCCCATAAAACAATCCACAGAGAGGAGAAACCATGAACAAAAGAAGCATGGAAAGAGTGTTCTATCGCCAAGACAAAGCAGACTCGGATACCGGATTTGAAATCAGCTCTTTATTAGCAACCAGTAACTTCAACTGAAGTCGAACCGTGGCAGCCCTTTTTATATCGGCTGCTAGCGGCTCGCAACCAATGGCATGTCTTTAAACTTCCCGCCGCTTATGCGGCCAATCGGAACTTGTTCTTAACCAATCGTTACGCTGTATTAACTAACCAATAGGAATGTAGCATTAGAAGTCTGTATTTGAATACACTACAAAGAGCTTCATCATTCTACTAGATTTACTTCCTGGAAAAGGATCCATTCAAGTGAACGTACATCAGCCAAAAGTGCATTGTTTTTCTCCCAGCTGTTTTTTGACCCCCATCATGGCCATGTTTCAAAATGTAGGAAGACCATGACAAAAGTCTAAAGTTGATGAAATATGATGACTTACAGACTTATAGACTTATATACTGCTTCAAAGTGCTTTACAGTGAAGACATTATAAAAAGGATTTCGAGACTCTGGGAAAAGTACAGAGAAGAGCAACTAGGATGATTAGGGGACTGGAGACTAAAACATACGAAGAACGGTTGCAGGAACTGGGCATGGCTAGTCTAGGGAAGAGAAGGACCAGGGGAGACATGATAGCAATCTTCCAATATTTGAGGGGTGCCAATAGGATTCAAGCTATTTTCTAAAGCACCTGTAGGCCTGACACGGAATAATGGATGAACAAGGAGAGATTTAACCTGGAAATAAGGGGAAACTTTCTGACAGGGAGAACAATCAACCAATGGAACAGCTTTGCCTTTGGAAGTTGTGGGAGCGTCATCACTTGAGGCTTTCAAGAAGAGATTGGATTCCCATCTGTCAGAAATGGTGTAGGGTCTCCTGCTTGGGTGGGGGTTGGACTAGATGACCCGCAAGGTCCCTTCCAACTCTGATTATCTGTTTATTATTATCTGATATTTATTTGTTCATCACAAGCATCTTTTGTTCATAAACATTGTGGAAAGTATACCCCAAAAGGACAGAATTAGAGTGGAAAGACTGTGATTTACTTTTGTCTGGAACCAATATTTACATTTAAAAAAAAAAGGATATAATGGGCTTGCTTTAAGATCACCACAAAAAAAGTGTTTGTAAAATCAGACAGGGCCATGTGGTGACCTCTCTCAGTTACTGTCCTAAGCTGAGGATCTTAGAGAGGACTGTAAAGCAATGGCCCCCAATCATTTTCTGGGCACCAGGGACCGGTTCCATGGACAGATATTTTTTCTGTGACCCAGAGGGGGCGTGGTTTTGTGTTGTGTCTGCATCCCACGGATGGGGCTTCGCTTGTTTGTGCAGCCGGGTTTCTGGAATGCCGCAGACTTGTTCCGTTCCATGAAGCAGGGGTTGGGGACTCCTGCTCTACTACAGATAATCAGAGTAGGAAGGGACCTTGTAGGTCATCTAGTCCAGCCCCCTACCTAAACTGGAGACCCTACACCATTTCTAACAAATGGCAGTGTTTTAGCCTTCAGTCCCCTAATCATCTTGGTTGCTCTTCTCTGAACTACTTCTATTCCTTCCTTCCTTCCTTTTTTATTAATAGCCCAGAGTATTTAGTTAAGATGGATGGCTGTGAAGGAAGAATGGATGAAAAGATGGAGGTGATAGAGAGATGGATGATAGATAGATATAGAAGGTTGAGAGAGGGAGGGAGGGAGAGAGAGAGAGAGATTTAGTCTTTACAGTTGATCCCATAATGAGTGAAGTTATATCACCCCACCTCCCCAAAAGCTAATTGGGATCCATTTTCAAAGTTAAATATCTGCCTCTATTCCCAAAGTCATGTGTTTTCATTTTGGGCACATGATTTTGTGGAGTGTGGAAAGAGCGTCAACAAAGAGCCTTCTAATCCCTCTTCCAACGTAGGCATGCGGCAGAATATATATGGTAACGTGCATTTATATACAGCCAGAAGCCACACCAAAAAGGAAAAGAAAAGGAAGTCCAGGGCAATATAGGTGCGTGTTTGTATACCGAAGTTACAATGGCACTGAAAAATGTGATTTATGACAGCGATGGGATGCAATTTTTTTTTACTATCGGTTCTATGGGAGTGGCTTGGTGGTCATGGCTTGGTGGGCATGGCTTGGTGGGCGTGGCAGGGGAAGGTTGCTGCAAAATATCCATTTCCTTCCCACCCCACTAACCTGCTTTCCAGCTCCCTTCTCCTGTGTAGGGCAACAAAAGAAGACCCAGCCAATCAGCTGGGACTTGGGAGGCAGAAAAGAGATGGGGGCAGAAACACTCATGCTCTGATGGTCTTTTTGAAAAATCCTTTCTTAGTGAGCACATAGAAGGCAAGAGGAACATATGTGCCAAATTTCAAGTTTGTAGGCTTTATGCTTCTGGAGATTTTGTGATGATGCATGAGTGGAATTTTGCTTTTATATATCTAGAGAGAGAAAGATATATGGTTTGTAATTTTTTTATTATTAATTTGTGCTTTTGAATCTTACTATGTAAGCCGCCTGCCCATGATGAAATGAACAATGTATTTTGTACTATGATTAAGCCATATTAAAAAAATAAATCCTCATTTGTTTTATTTTTTTAAACTGGGGAAACATCCCCCCCCCCCCCCCGCTATGAAAGTGGGATCCAATAGACGGTTCCCTCAGGGGAAAAAAAATCAAAGTTCTGGCAAACTTCCTGGCTTCAGAGGAAAAACAGAGCATGCTCCGGAGAACTTTTGCCTGCTGCTGGTATTTCAGTGCGGAAGTGAGGGTCGCCGCCGGCGTTGCGCCGTTCTAGCACCCCCCCACTACCTCTCTCTCTCGTTTTAACCCTCCAACTGTCACCCCCAGCGCTCAAGGGAGTGGTTCCAGCTTTGGGCAGGTGAGTGCGTTGCGTTGACTTGCGGGTAAAAGTGTGAAGGGTGGATCTGTGCTCCTGAAACAAGTGAAAGCAGGTTGCTTCCTTTTGTGTGCGTGGGAATTGCAAAAC